GTGTGTGTGTGTGTGTGTGTGTGTGTTTTAAATATACAGGTACAATTAGACGTCTACGAGAGCTTAGAAAACAAAAACTAGCAGAGCGAGGGGCAGATACGTAGGTGGTGGTGGTAGTGTGAGTGGTAGTGGTGGTGGTAGTGTGAGTGGTAGTGGTGGTGGTAGTGTGAGTGGTAGTGGTGGTGGTAGTGTGAGTGGTGATGGTAGTGGTAATGGCAGTAAATAGTAGTGGTGGTGGTAGTGATGCTATAGCTTCTAATTACCTCCTTATCTGTAATCAACACCTTCAAGATTTTCATTCATCTGACCTAACTTGTGTTCCTCGAAGTTACAATATTTTATAACCCGGAGTAAATTCTAAATTACCAACATCGTCAAGTTTGAAGGTATTTTTTCGCGTTCAGAAATGAAACTTTTCAGCGAGCGACTGCAAGTGACGGAAAATCCTGACAATCTAGCAATACCTCGCAGACATGGCCGCTTACATTATCAACCTCGCAGAGTATGGAAAAACTGGCCCGGGTTCTCCTTATCAAAATTCAGAAGATATATGTGAACATGAACTAATAATATATCCCGCTCATACTAAAGTTCCATTAGAGACACTAAAAAAAAGTTTAAAATTAATCTATTTATTAATAATTTTTAAACTTACAGTGCTGATGTGTTTTCCTCAAATGAAATAATCTACTGATGTTATCTTGTGTAAGTTATTAATCATTTTGGCTTATGTGAAATAACTGAATAAAAATTTTCTGATCAGAAATAAATCACAGATTTTTACTTTATTTGCTTATCCTAGGTTAAATTAGCTTAAAGTTCTTTTATAAAGCATTTATGTCCTGAAGACCATTGTTAAAACTATATTACGATGTTTCGCCCCTATCTTCTTCTAAGATACAAAAAAAAATCAAGACAGGTCGTGAAGAGGGAGAGAATAATAGAAATAGTAACGAGGGTAAGGATAAAGATGGGAAGAACTGGGGTAGGAAAGAGCAATGAAAAAAATTGTAGGTAAATAGGAAGAAAGAGAAAGAAAAGTTAAGTGGCTTCATCTCTTGATCACTTTAGGTTGATTTTAAGAGACGAATTTGACTTAAATTGAAGTGACTTCTGACACTTGTGATTTGACACTAATGAATTTTGACACAGACGCTTCTGACACTAGATACCTCTGATACTAGATACCTCTGATACTAAATACCTCTGATACTAGATATCTCTGACACTAGATACCTCTGACACTAGATACCTCTGATACTAGATATCTCTGACACTAGATACCTCTGATACTAGAAACCTCTGATACTAGATACCTATGATACTAGATACCTCTGACACTAGATACCTCTGATACTAGATACCTCTGATACTAGATACCTCTGATACTAGAAACCTCTGATACTAGATACCTCTGATACTAGATACCTCTGATACTAGATACCTCTGATACTAGAAACCTCTGATACTAGATACCTCTGATACTAGATACCTCTGATACTAGATACCTCTGATACTAGATATCTCTGACACTAGATACCTCTGACACTAGATACCTCTGATACTAGATATCTCTGACACTAGATACCTCTGACACTAGAAACCTCTGATACTAGATACCTCTGATACTAGATACCTCTGATACTAGATACCTCTGATACTAGATACCTCTGATACTAGATATCTCTGACACTAGATACCTCTGACACTAGATACCTCTGACACTAGATACCTCTGACACTAGATACCTCTGACACTAGATACCTCTGACACTAGATACCTCTGACACTAGATACCTCTGACACTAGATACCTCTGACGCTAGATACCTCTGACGCTAGATACTTCTGACACTAGATACCTCTGACACTAGATACCTCTGACACTAGATACCTCTGGCACTAAATACCTCTGATACTAGATACCTCTGATACTAGATATCTCTGATACTAGATACCTCTGATACTAGATACCTCTGATACTAGATACCTCTGACACTAGATACCTCTGACACTAGATACCTCTGACACTAGATACCTCTGACACTAGATACCTCTGACACTAGATACCTCTGACACTAGATATCTCTGACACTAGATACCTCTGACACTAGATACCTCTGACACTAGATACCTCTGACACTAGATACCTCTGACACTAGATACCTCTGATACTAGATACCTCTGATACTAGATACCTCTGATACTAGATACCTCTGACACTTGATACCTCTGACACTAGATACCTCTGATACTAGATACCTCTGACACTAGATACCTCTGATACTAGATACCTCTGATACTAGATACCTCTGACACTAGATACCTCTGATACTAGATACCTCTGATACTAGATACTTCTGACACTTGTGATTTGGCACTAATGTAAATTGCATTTCAATGGGGTAAAGAAGCGACTCCCTCTAACAAATGTCTCTTAGTTCACAAACGAAGGAAAAAAAGTAAGGAGAAAATCAGAAGGCAGGAAAGTGTAAGGATATAGAGAACACAGGTCAAGAGGAAAGGTGAGAAGGCACAGGTCAGGTCACGTCACTTGCATCTTACAGCAGAGGAAATTACATAGCATAATCTTGGCAATTACGCAATAGAACCGCGGAAATCGTTCAGTAAAGCCGTGGTAATTATATATAACATACTAACTACGAGTTGCTATTGTCAGAGGTTAATAGCGGCAGAAGACGCTAATAAAATCACTTGTGTGTGAATTTACTATTATCAGAAATATCTAGTGTCGGAAGTATCTAGTGTCGGAAGTATCTAGTGTCGGAAGTATCTAGTGTCAGAAGTATCTAGTGTCAGAAGTATAGAAGTATCTAGTGTCAGAGGTATCTAGTTTCAGAGGTATCTAGTGTCAGAGGTATCTAGTGTCAGAAGTATCTAGTGTCAGAGGTATCTAGTGTCAGAAGTATCTAGTGTCAGAAGTATCTAGTGTCAGAAGTATCTAGTGTCAGAGGTATCTAGTGTCAGAGGTATCTAGTGTCAGAGGTATCTAGTGTCAGAGGTATTTAGTATTAGAGGTATTTAGTGTCAGAGGTATCTAGTGTCAGAAGTGTCTAGTGTCAGAAGTATCTAGTGTCAGAAGTATCTAGTGTCAGAGGTATCTAGTGTCAGAAGTATCTAGTGTCAGAGGTATCTAGTGTCAGAGGTATCTAGTGTCAGAAGTATCTAGTGTCAGAGGTATCTAGTGTCAGAAGTATCTAGTGTCAGAAGTATCTAGTGTCAGAGGTATCTAGTGTCAGAAGTATATAGTGTCAGAAGTATCTAGTGTCAGAAGTATCTAGTGTCAGAGGTATCTAGTGTCAGAGGTATCTAGTGTCAGAAGTGTCTAGTGTCAGAAGTGTCTTGTGTCAGAAGTATCTAGTGTCAGAAGCATCTAGTGTCAGAAGTATCTAGTGTCAGAAGTATCTAGTGTCAGAAATATCTAGTGTCAGAAGTATCTAGTGTCAGAAGTATCTAGTGTCACAGGTATCTAGTGTCAGAAGTATCTAGTGTCAGAAGTATCTAGTGTCACAGGTATCTAGTGTCAGAGGTATCTATTGTCAGAGGTATCTAGTGTCAGAAGTATCTAGTGTCAGAAGTATCTAGTGTCAGAAGTATCTAGTGTCAGAAGTATCTAGTGTCAGAGGTATCTAGTGTCAGAGGTATCTAGTGTCAGAGGTATCTAGTGTCAGAAGTATCTAGTGTCAGAGGTATCTAGTGTCAGAGGTATCTAGTGTCAGAAGTATATAGTGTCAGAAGTATATAGTGTCAGAAGTATCTAGTGTCAGAAGTATCTAGTGTCAGAAGTATCTAGTGTCAGAGGTATCTAGTGTCAGAGGTATCTAGTGTCAGAAGTATCTAGTGTCAGAGGTATCTAGTGTCAGAAGTATATAGTGTCAGAAGTATCTAGTGTCAGAAGTATCTAGTGTCAGAAGTATCTAGTGTCAGAAGTATCTAGTGTCAGAGGTATCTAGTGTCAGAGGTATCTAGTGTCAGAAGTATCTAGTGTCAGAGGTATCTAGTGTCAGAGGTATCTAGTGTCAGAAGTATATAGTGTCAGAAGTATATAGTGTCAGAAGTATCTAGTGTCAGAAGTATCTAGTGTCAGAGGTATCTAGTGTCAGAGGTATCTAGTGTCAGAAGTATCTAGTGTCAGAGGTATCTAGTGTCAGAGGTATCTAGTGTCAGAAGTATATAGTGTCAGAAGTATCTAGTGTCAGAAGTATCTAGTGTCAGAGGTATCTAGTATCAGAAGTATCTAGTCTAAGAAGTATCTAGTGTCAGAGGTATCTAGTGTCAGAAGTATCTAGTGTCAGAGGTATCTAGTGTCAGAGGTATCTAGTGTCAGAAGTATATAGTGTCAGAAGTATCTAGTGTCAGAAGTATCTAGTGTCAGAAGTATCTAGTGTCAGTAGTACCTTGTGTCAAAACTCATTAGTGTCAAATCACAAGTGTCAGAAGTCACATCAATTTTAGTCAAATTCGTCTCTTAAAATCTACCTAAAGTGATCAAGAGATGAAGCCACTTAACTTTTTTTTTCCTCTTTCTTCCTATTTACCTACAATTTTTTCATTGTTCTTTCCTTCCCCAGTTCATCCCATCTTTATCCTTACCATTCTTCTTACGCTCTAACCAATAACAAAGAAGTGTCATATCACTAGTGGCCGGAGCCAAGTGTCAGAAATCACTAGCACCAGTCACTATCGCTAGAAGTCACTAGTAAATAGTGTCAGAAGTTCTTAGTGAAGATAAAAGTGTCAGAAATTACTGGTGATTATTAGTGCCAAAAGTTGCCAGGGCACATAAGCTCGTCCCCAAAAAACTAACAATTACATATTTTTCTGTTCCTCAAGGACGTATTATAAAAAATCACTGCTTCAGCATCAGGAGATAGCGAAGACAACGTCGTAATTACCGTAAAAGAAGCTGAACTCGCCTTTAAAAAAAACTATTTTGGCCACGAGACAAATATTAGCTCCCGGGAGGTGCAGGAGTATGTGAGAATCGTCAGTCACCTCCAAGACACCGTGGGTAGAGTACGTCTCTCTTGCTGGTCTCCTCCCTCTCTCTCTCTCTCTTTCTCTCGCTCTCTTTCCCCCTCGCTCTTGAGAAACTGTTGGAAGTGTTTTAAAAATTCACTGAATGTTTCTATCGACTTTACCTGTATGGAAGTGATTAATTAAAGTTACACACAATGATAAATATATTCGGCTTCATGTTTGTTGGTAAACTTGCGGCGTGTTTTAACTTAGAGGAACGGACTGTCGATGTCGATTGTGTATTATGATAGACTGTATTTACGTGGTGTTAACTTTTAATTTAGGAAATAATTGTAGATATTATGTTACATTAGTAAATAATAGCAGACAGTTACATTAGCAATATAATAAATTAGTAAAAACTGGGAAACGCTCATCTTCGTAAATTCTCTGACACTTGCATATGTAAATACCGACAGACTGTGTTACCATTGTAAACAAAGATTTACGGCAAATTAAATTATACATTATTAAGAGCAACAGTGTGAAAATCCCAGCAATACTGCTATCATTAATCCAAGGCCCCGGCTCGACATATATAGCAACAAAAAATACAGCTTTTGTATTATTTAGTGAACACTTGCCCACGTTATCTCTGTAAATCAGAGTATGGAGAAACAACTGCGAGTGGCCGTAATGGACAGGACTTTCACTCACTTAGTGTTGAGATGCAACGAGCGGTGACTTGACCTTGTTGTCTGCCCGCTGACACACACACACACAGTGTGGGGTGACCTTGCTGGCTGACCCACACACGACCTTGCAGGCCACACCCACTAGCAAAATTGCTCCAAATCAGCTGTTCCTTGTGTGGTGCTCCACTTCGATTGTACAGCATCAGGTAAGTGTTTCAGCCTTTGCGATCTTTAAATCAATACCATATGTTTGTTTGTGTGTGTCCAAATGATGTGCCTCAGATAGTGGATTTAGGGCACAATGGAGAACAAGCTTTTATTGACATAGCGTGTTTTGCAGTGTGTGTATTTTCTTCTTGAGGCTGCCCACATCAGTCTGTGTAACTCCAGTATAGTGTTATTCCCTGTGTCGAACACCAAATGCCTGGCTATCTCTCTTTAAAACAGACATCACTGAACCAGCACCACAAGAGGGACAATACATCACTGAACCTGCACCACAAGAGGGACAATACATCACTGAACCAGCACCACAAGAGGGACAATACATCACTAAACCAGCACCACAAGAGGGACAATACATCACTAAACCAGCACCACAAGAGGGACAATACATCACTAAACCAGCACCACAAGAAGGACAATACATCACTGAACCTGCACCACAAGAGGGACAATACATCACTGAACCAGCACCACAAGAGGGACAATACATCACTGAACCAGCACCACAAGAGGGACAATTTCGTGCAGGCAACGAGAGACGAAACCTCCAAGTAAATCGCAGATATCACAACAGCGAAGAAAACTCTTCGAAAAATCAGCTAGGTGGGCTGATCTTCCGTTCATTAGGAGAACAAGACACTCATGGAACTGACTGAAGGATTGTAAATATGATGTCTTGCTGTGCTGGAATGAAAGGTTTAATGAGATTCTCGAGGAACTTAGAGCAAACATGGCCCATTTTAATTTTTATGAATAATTTTTATTTTACTCTGTTAAAATGCGTTGAAGTTTCGCCAATCTTTAAATTGCACATACTTTAAATGGTGCCAAACTTATGCTTTTTCTAATTTTGCCTATTTAAGAAACTAATGTAAAGGAAGAACACTAAAACAATGCAGGTCCCCAGTAGAGGACTGGCGTTTATTTCGCCAACAAAAAGTTTATATTTTTGGGCGTTAGGTTTACATTTTCCTGAATCCCTTCACGACGTTTGTTTTCTATATATTTCTGTCATCCTAGAGCCGATGGGAAAAAAATGTCATTTCAGATATGTGGAGAAATTTTTAGCTCAGTGCCAAGTAATGAATTTCAATGCAGAGCTTAGTGCTGAGGGAAAAAATGCCAGTAATTACCAGACAAAATATTATTTCATAGACGAAGATTGCATAGTGCGGTAGAGTACATTAGGTTGTTTATACTGAAGTCAAATAGTGCGGTAACCTACGTCACTTTGATGCATCACGTGACAGTCGAAATTAAATGTCCATATACTAGTTTACAATTATGAGAAAGGGTCGTTGGTATTAGTGCATTCACACGTGTAGTTGTTCCCAAGACTCGATCTAAGAAGAACTGCTTGTTCTAGACTGTTTAACAGTACAGTTTAATGATGAAAATACAATTGAAACAGCGTGAGCATTCTTATAGAAATCTTTCGCTCAAGGAAGGCTTGAGTGAAACGTTATAATAAAGGCTAACAATAATAAATCGAAGACGGATCTAGCAAGATTATGTTTAAAATGACATTAGTAAGAACTTCAGTGTACTCACCTAATTGTGGTTGCAGGGGTCGAGACTCAGCTCCTGGCCCCGCCTCTTCACTGATCGCTACTAGGTCCTCTCCCTCTGTGCTTCCTGAGCTTTGTCATACCACTTCTTAAAACTATGTATGGTTCCTGCCTCCACTACTTCACTTGCTAGGCTATTCCACTTCCTGACGACTCTATGACTGAAGAAATACTTCCTAACGTCCCTGTAACTCGTCTGAGTCTTCAGCTTCCAGTTGTGACCCCTTGTTTCTGTGTCCCCTCTCTCCCGAACATCCTATCTCTGTCCACCTTGTCTATTCCCCGCAGTATCTTGTATGTCGTTATCATGTCTCCCCTGACCCTTCTGTCCTCCAGTGTCGTCAGTCTGATTTCCCTCAACCTTTCCTCGTACGACATTCCCCTGAGCTCTGGGACTAGCCTTGTTGCAAACCTTTGTACTTTCTTTAACTTCTTGACGTGCTTGACCAGGTGTGGGTTCCAGACTGGTGCTGCATACTCCAGTATGGGCCTAACATACACAGTGTGCAGTGTCTTGAACGATTCCTTATTAAGGTATCTGAACGCTATTCTCAGGCTTGCCAGGCGCCCGTATGCTGCAGCAGTTATTTGGTTGATGTGTGCCTCCGGTGACGTGCTCGGTGTTATGGTCACCCCAAAGTCTTTCTCCCTGAGTGAGGTCTGTAGTCTTTGTCCACCTAGCCTATACTCTGTCTGCGGTCTTCTTTGCCCTTCCCCAATCTTCATGACTTCGCATTTGGCAAAGTTGAATTTGAGAAGCAAGTTTCTGGACCACATGTCCAGATCTGTCCAGGTCTCTTTGCAGTCCTGCCTCATCCTCATCCGATTTAATTCTTCTCATCAGCTTCACATCATCTGCGAATAGGGACACTTCAGAGTCTCTTCCTTCCATCATGTCGTTCGCATATATAAAAAATAGCACTGGTCCTAGAACTGACCCCTGTGGGACCCCGCTCGTCACAGGCGCCCACTGTGATACCTCTTCACGTACCATGACTCGTTGTTGCCTCCCTGTCAGGTATTCCCTGATCCATTGCAGTGCCCTCCCTGTTATATGCGCCTGATCCTCCAGCTTCTGCACTAATCTCTTGTGGGGAACTGTGTCAAAGGCCTTCCTGCAGTCTAGGAAAATGCAATCAACCCACCCCTGTCTCTCGTGTCTTACTTCTGTTACCTTATCATAAAACTCCAGAAGGTTTGTGACACAGGATTTGCCTTCCATGAACCCGTGCTGGTTTTCATTTATAATCTTGTTCCGTTCCAGGTGTTCCACCACTCTCCTCCTGATAATCTTCTCCATGACTTTGCACACAATACATGTCAGAGACACAGGTCTGTAGTTTAGTGCCTCATTTCTGTTTCCTTTCCTTAAGTGTGTGTGTGTGTGTGTGTACTCACCTATTTGTACTCACCTATTTGTGGTTGCAGGGGTCGAGTCCTAGCTCCTGGCCCCGCCTCTTCACCGGTTGCTACTAGGCCCTCTCTCTCCCCGCTCCATGAGCTTTATCAAACCTCGTCTTAAAACTGTGTATGGTTCCTGCCTCCACTACGTCATTTTCTAGGCTATTCCACTGCCTTACAACTCTATGACTGAAGAAATACTTCCTACTATCTCTGACTCATTTGTGTCTTCAACTTCCAATTGTGGCCTCTTGTTTCTGTGTCCCCTCCCTGGAACATCCTGTCTTTGTCCACCTTGTCTATTCCACGCAGTATTTTATATGTCGTTATCATGTCTCCCCTGACCCTCCTGTCCTCCAGTGTGGTCAGGCCGATTTCCCTTAATCTTTCCTCATAGGACATTCCCCTTAGCTCTGGAACTAACCTTGTCGCAAACCTTTGTACTTTCTCTAGTTTCTTGACGTGCTTTATCAAGTGCGGGTTCCAAACAGGTGCTGCATACTCCAGTATGGGCCTGACATACACGGTGTACAGTGTCTTGAATGATTCCTTACTAAGGTATCGTGTGTGTGTGTGTGTGTGTGTGTGTGTGTGTGTGTGTGTGTGTGTGTGTGTGTGTGTGTGTGTGTGTGTGTGTGTGTGTGTGTGTGTGCGCGCAAGTTTCTATAGTCTTCAATAACCATTAAAAAAAAGGTTAAGACTGTGCCAAGGGACTTAGTTTGTTCCTTGTAGTTCTCACCGAAGAAAACGTCCGTTGTAAATGGAGTCGTGTAGATAAATGGCTCGGAGAGCCGAATAGCTGATAAATTAGACACATGTGCAACACTTGGGTATCTTTACTGAGGAAACGTTTCGCCACACAGTGGCTTCATCAGTCGCATACAAAGAAGAATGGTGAAGATCAAAAGGAGTTTCAGGTAATCAGTCAAACGAAGTCTTACCAGGAGCTCTCTTACTGCATCGTCCATACAAAGGTGACACTTTCCACGTTCCCTTCATATACTTCTAGACTAGCTGCCTCTTTCTTTAGTTCTCTTTATATTCCTGCATTCCATTTTTGTTTATAAATTATCTGTTAGGGGTATCTTTTTTTTTTAACATTTAATTTTCTCGTAGCTCAGTGGCGGTGTTATAGGCTTACAACCGAAGAACTGGGGTGCGATCGCGGGGCAGGTGGAGACGGTAGGCCATATTATATCACACCCGCTGCCCCTGTTCCTCCAGCATTTAACTGGTTAAATAATAACGTGATATTTGGGACATAACGTAATCATTTAGAGCTATTGGTATCCCCGCGCAAGATGTTGGTATCTCCACGCAAGATGTTGGTATCCCCATGCAAGATGTTGGTATCCCCACGCAAGATGTTGGTATCCCCACGCAAGATGTTGGTATCCCCACGCAAGATGCTGGTATCCCCACGCAAGATGGTATACCCGTACAAGATGTTGGTATCCCCACGCAAGATGTTGGTATCCCCACGCAAGATGTTGGTATCCTCACGCAAGATGTGTATCCCATGCAAGATGCTGGTATTCCATGCAAGATGTTGGTATCCTCACGCAAGATGCTGGTATCCCATGCAAGATGTTAGTATCCTCATGCAAGATGCTAGTATCCCATGCAAGATGCTGGTATTTCATGCAAGATGTTGGTATCCTCACGCAAGATGCTAGTATCCCATGCAAGATGTTGGTATCCTCACGCAAGATGCTGGTATCCCATGCAAGATGCTGGTATTTCATGCAAGATGTTGGTATCCTCACGCAAGATGCTAGTATCCCATGCAAGATGTTGGTATCCTCACGCAAGATCCCCATGCAAAGTGCTGGTATCCCATGCAAGATGCTGGTATCCCATGCAAGATGCTGGTATTCCCACGCAAAATGTATCCCCACGCAAGATGTTGGTATCCTCACGCAAGATGGTATCCTCGCGCAAGATGCTGGTATCCCATGCAAAATGTTGGTATCCCATGCAAGATGCTGGTATCCTTACGCAAGATTCTGGTATCCCATGCAACATGTTGGTATCCCCAAGCAAGATGTTGGTATGCTCACGCAAGATGTTGGTATCCCCACGCAAGATGTTTTTATCCCCAAGCACGATGTTGGTATCCCGAAACAGGATGTTGGTATCCTCATGCAAGATGTTGGTATCCTCACGCAAGATGCTGGTATCTCATGTAAGACGTTGGTACTCACGCAAGTGCTTATCTCATGTAAGACGTTGGTATCCTCACGCAAAGCTGTATCTCTGTAAGACGTTGGTATCCTAGCGATTGGATAAGATGTTGGTATCCCCACGCAAGATATTGGTATCCTCAAACTAGCTGTTAAGGTGGGGGATGGACTGCATAATGTTCTTTAAAACCTATGCAACATCGTAATATGGTATCTACAATCATGTAACAAGTTGTATATTTGTTGTAGAACTTATGTAACCTAGCTTTAGTAAACTTTATGTAAATAAAACATTTGTGCTTAAATATTAATAAATATATATATTCTATTTGTGTATAATTATTAACAATCATATATATTCTTGCTCTGTAAATAAAATTTGATATAGGACAAGTGAAAATTTGTGTATGCAATAATTTCGCCAAAATTATTCTGAACCTAACGAAAAGAATATATTTCACTGTTTGTTTAGTATTAAATTATTGTAAACAAATCTAAAATATATTTAGTTGGGTTAGGGCTAAAATAAAATTGTTCTTGTTATAATAAGGTTAGGTAAGTTTTCTAAGTTCCTTTTGGTGCAAAATTATAATTTTTAAATCAACATTAATGAAAAAAATATATCTTTAAACGTATAAGAGAAAATTTCAGAAAGGACTTAATTTTAAATGATTCTTGCTAATTGACCAGTTTTTACATATTCGTCATAATGACATACATCACAAACACACACAACACATATATATATATATATATATATGCAATAAGATCACAGTAAACAGGTGATTTCAGAATATGCAAAACAACCACTCTGAAAGAATAGAGAAATTCCAAGTGCTTTCGTGATTACTCACATTATCAAGGAACTATGAAAGTAAAGCATCCAAGAAGCTATATAAGGGGTCTGGCCAGCACCTCACTATCAGATCCCACAACGGCTAAACACCTGACGCGCGCCGGCCCAACTGGACAGGTCCTTTGCACAACTCACCAACAAACTATTCTACCCAAGAAAATTTAAAAATTATTATTTGTCCAGTGTATTATTAAATTCTTCCCAAATTCTATTAATTATAAATGGATCTAATTTATATAAACCAAAGGAAATATTCATATTATTGTCAAAACTGCTTTTTTTTGAAACAAGATTCAATTATATTCCTGTCGACCATGGACTTGTTTGATACTACTTTCTCAACTTTTTGAAAATCAATTGGATGGTTAAAATCTCTTACATGAATAAATAGAGCATTGGAATTTTGTCCAGTTCTAATGCTGTATTTATGTTGTTTTAATCTTAGTTCGAAATTTTTACCAGTTTGACCGTAATAAACTTTATCGCAAATTTACAAGGAATCTTATAGACACATCCATCAGCATTTTGGGGGAATTCTTTATCAAAAGTTTTTTTAAATGTATCAAGATTTTTGAATACAACTTTAATATTAAAAGTCTTAAGAAGAGAAGGCATATCAACCAAGTTTTCATGGTAAGGGAGAACCAACATATTTTTAGTTGAATAAGGCAGGTTGTCCCTTTTTGGATTGTAAAAAGTATTTCTAGCAACTTTAAAAGATTTATCAATTACATTTCTTGGGTATTTTAAATCATTACCTATTTCATAAATTTTGGATATTTCCTCATCTATGAACTCAGGACTACAAATTCGTAAAGCTCTCAAAAACATTGATGAGAAAACAGACAGTTTGACTATCTTGATGCGAGGTTGCTTAACACAATCCTCCCTAATAGAGCTAAATGGTTCAGATATGTTGATGATATTTTGTGTCTTATGCCCAAAAATGTAGATATACACCATTTCCTTGGAAAATTAAATAACTTAACCCATTCTATAAACTTTACTGTTGAGTTTGAAGAAAATAACTCATTGCCTTTTCTAGATGTTTTGATTATTAAGGGTAATAATGAATTAAAATTTAAAATTTACAGAAAACCTACAAATAACTGTTCCTATGTCAACTATTATTACTCGCATCAAGATAGAGTCAAACTGTATGTTTTCTCATCAATGTTTTTGAGAGCTTTACGAATTTGTAGTCCTGAGTTCATAGATGAGGAAATATCCAAAATTTATGAAATAGGTAATGATTTAAAATACCCAAGAAATGTAATTGATAAATCTTTTAAAGTTGCTAGAAATACTTTTTACAATCCAAAAAGGGACAACCTGCCTTATTCAACTAAAAATATGTTGGTTCTCCCTTACCATGAAAACTTGGTTGATATGCCTTCTCTTCTTAAGACTTTTAATATTAAAGTTGTATTCAAAAATCTTGATACAGTAAAAAAACTTTTGATAAAGAATTCCCCCCAAAATGCTGATGGATGTGTCTATAAGATTCCTTGTAAAATTTGCGATAAAGTTTATTACGGTCAAACTGGTAAAAATTTCGAACTAAGATTAAAACAACATAAATACAGCATTAGAACTGGACAAAATTCCAATGCTCTATTTATTCATGTAAGAGATTTTAACCATCCAATTGATTTTCAAAAAGTTGAGAAAGTAGTATCAAACAAGTCCATGGTCGACAGGAATATAATTGAATCTTGTTTCATAAAAAGCAGTTTTGACAATAATATGAATATTTCCTTTGGTTTATATAAATTAGATCCATTTATAATTAATAGAATTTGGGAAGAATTTAATAATACACTGGACAAATAGTAATTTTTAAATTTTCTTGGGTAGAATAGTTTGTTGGTGAGTTATGAAAAGGACCTGTCCAGTTGGGCCGGCGCGCGTCAGGTGTTTAACCGTTGTGGGATGTGATAGTGAGGTGTTGGCCAGACCCCCTATATAGCTTCCTTGGATGCTTTACTTTCATAGTTCCTTGATAATGTGAGTAATCACGAAAGCGCTTGGAATTTCTCTATTCTTTCAGAGTGGTTGTTTTGCATATATATATATATATATATATATATATATATATATATATATATATATATATATATATATATATATATATATATATTATATATATATATATATATGTCGTGCCGAATAGGCAGAACTTGCGATCTTGGCTTAAATAGCAACGTTCATCTTGCCATATAGGACAAGTGAAAATTTGTGTATGCAATAATTTCGCCAAAATCATTCTGAACCTAACGAAAAAAATATATTTGATTGTGTTTGTGTAGTATTAAATTATTGTAAACGTATTTAAAATATATTTAGTTGAGTTAGGCTAAAATAAATTGCGCTTTTTATAATAAGGTTAGGTAAGTTTTCTAAGTTCCTTTTGGTGCAAAATTATAATTTTTTACATCAACATTAATGAAAAAAATGTATCTTTAAACGTATAAGAGAAAATTTTAGAAAGGACTTAATTTTAAATGAGTTCTTGCTAAATGACCAGTTTTACATATTCGGCACGATATATATATATATATATATATATATATAATATATATAATATATATATATATATAGTGTGTGTGTTTGTGTGTGTGATGTGTGTGTGTGGTGTAGTGTGTGTGTGTGTGTGTGTGTGTGTGTGTGGTGTGTGTGTGTTGAGCATGTTTCCTTACACCTGCTGTTCCTGTTCACCTAGCAGTAAATAGTACCTGGACGTTAGTCGACTGTTGTGGGTCGCATCCTGCTCAATGGAAGACAGTCCTTGATGACGCACTGCCTTTCTTGGGTTATCCTGGACGTTTTGAGCTAGCGGCAATCAGAGCCAGTGCATAGCTCAGTGAAGATGGAGAGTGCTAGGCCTCAAACAATGGTAGTGATGGAAGATACCCACCAGAAGGTGGTGACTGATGTAACAATAGCTCTTTAGGTCACCTCGTGTGCACCGGACCCTCAGCTTGGGTGGGACGCAGTGTAGTCGGAGCACTGCGATCAGACTAGGCACCCCAGTGACATGTAATAATATAGTTTATGCGCTAACCTGTGGTAGAGATTAAATAGGAGTGACTCCTTCCACTCAAACTAGCCTTAGCTAACAGCCTATTCTTCACAACTAGCATGACTAGGCCAGTCAAATAAAGTAAAGAAAAAACATGGAAGGTTATCAGAAAGATACATGGTTGGCGTATGGCTTAGTGAAACGCCATCTAAAAGCGAAATAAAATCAAGAACAAGAATCTCAGGGAGGATTAGATGCAACACTGGGAGAGTCAGAAGTGACTAGTCAATAACTCATCCCACTCACCAGGTCAGCTCTAACCCTGCCAAGGACCGGCCCCGAGGTGGCATTGATGTAAACACGCCACTCCTAAGTAGTGAAGTAACCAACCAAAGAACCATTGCCTGCACTCCTCACTGGAACAAAGAAATAAATATACAATACTCAAACTTACTCACCACCAGTCAAAAATTTTTTAATTCCTAAACTAGGGAGTAAACTCTCAGAGAGACGTGCATCCCCTGGGTGTAAACTCTCAGAGAGACGTGCATCCCCTGGGTGTAAACTCTCAGAGAGACGTGCATCCCCTGGGTGTAAACTCTCAGAGAGACGTGCATCCCCTGGGTGTAAACTCTCAGAGAGACGTGCATCCCCTGGGTGTAAACTCTCAGAGAGACGTGCATCCCCTGGGTGTATTTGCAAACATATGTAGAATGTGTAATATGTGAATTTCTTAAATGTACAGAAAAATCATGTGTTAAACATGAACTTAATTTATTAAATATATTTTTGTAATACATTATTAAATGATAAAGAGCGTAAAGGTCGTTCATGATAAATAATATATCTGACTGTGGTGCCTATTGCATAAGAACCTGCACTTGTGTCGTAATAACTTTATATCACACATGTCTGTGGAAACTGACTCAAGTAACGCTGGCTAAATTGGGTCCGGCATTTGCAGGGAGAACAAAAAAGAAAGGATAAAATCGACACTGCTGTAAATTCCTAAAGCGAGCATTACAGTCAAGTGCATGTTGTTAGTATGACTGGGAGCCCTGTTGTGTGCGTGCGTGTACTCGCCTATTTGTGGTTGCAGGGTCGCGTCATAGATTCCTCAACACGCTCAATCACTGATTGCTACAGGATCCTCTTTTCCCTCTCCATGATCTTTAATCAAACTTGATCTAAAATATAATGTTCCTTCCCTCCACTAAAGTAACTTTCTAGACTATTCCAGTTGCCTGACAACTCAACTGAGAAATAACTTCTAACATCCTCTTGACTCATCGAGTCTTCAACTTCCAAATTTTGGTGTCCCATCTCTGGAAAAAAATCCTTTGTCCACCTGTCAATTCTCGCAGTATTTTTATATGTCATTATCATGTTTCCCCTATCCTCTGTCCTCAGTGTCGTCAGGCAGATTTCCCTTACGTTTATCTTCGTAGACATCTGGGACTAGTCTTGTTTGCAAACCCTTGCACTTTCTCTAATTGTTCTTGACGTGCTTGACTGGTGAGATTCCAAACTGCGTTGCATACTCTGTATGGGCTGACGTAATGGTGTACAAGTCTTGAACATTCCTTCCTTAGGGAATCGAAACGCATATTCTTTAGTTTGCCGACGCCCGTACCTGCAGCAGTTATCAGGCTGATTTGCCCTCAGAGATGTGCTCGTATTATACTCACCAGTCTTTTTCCTTGATAAGGTTTGCAGCTCTTGCCACCTAGGACTATACTTGTCTGCGGTCTCTTTGCCCCTCCCCGTATCTTCATGACTTTGCATTTGGCGGGTTAATTCAAGGAGCCATTTGCTGACCAGGCCTTGTAGCCTGTACATGTCTTTTTGTAGTCCTGCCTGATCCTCGACCGATTTAATTCTCATATAACTTCACACCATCTGCAAACAGGACACTTCTGAGTCTACCCTATACTCACCCTAATTTACTTACCTATTGTGTTGCAGGGTCGAGGCTCCAGCTTCCTGGACCCCGCTGCCTGTCATCGAGTTGCTACCTAGGTCCTTCTCATTCTCACCATGCTACCATTGAGTCTATCTACATACCTCATACTTACCAGGCTCATCGGCTAGTCTGGCTTCCTCGTGCTATGTTTTTCTGTTGGTTTACGTCTTGTTCGTGTGTGTGTGTGTGTGTGTGTGTGTGTGTGTGTGTGTGTGTGTGTGTGTGTGTGTGTGTACGCGTGTGCGAGCTCGAGCTCACCTTTTTGTGGTTATAGGGGTCGATTAACAGCTCTTTCCCCGCCTCTTCACTACTCACTACTAGGTCCACTGTCTCCCTGCTCCAAGAGTCTTATCGTACCTCATTTTAAAGCTATGTATGAATCCTGCCTCCACTACTTCACTCTCCAGATTGTTCCACTACCTGACAACTCTAGTTCTGAAGAAATACTTTCTAACATCCCTGTGACTCATCTGAGCTTTCAACTTCCAGCTGTGGTCTCTTGTTCCTCTGTCTCATTTCTGAAATATGTTGTTCCTGTCCACCTCGTGCGTGAGTGTGTTTTGCAGTCACGTATATGTTGCTAACATCACTTGGAAGTCTACTGCATGTCTTGCAGTCATATGTATACATTTAATATCACCGAGAACCCGAATTCATGTGTCGCAATCATCCCTGGGAAAAGCTCCATTTCGTGTCCTTAATTTAATCCACCGAGAGAGTGTGTTGGGCTTCTTGCATTTCCATTACACTTCCTTCTTGAACACAATTGATCTAATTTACTTATATCAATTTTCTGGAGACGGCTGTGAAGTGCTGCGGTGCTGGACTAGCGAACAAAATAATTTGTGGGCTAAATCCATAAATTTTGAAAAAAAAATAATGAAAACGTCTTGGCAAGCTGCGTAATCTGCGATATAAAATCTTTACTCATTCTTTTAACGACGTTAAAGTGTAAAGGAATGACTGGTCATAAACCCTAATGATATACTGAACATTTGCACTGTGAGGCAAAAATATCACGATTATTCTCCTCGGCCTGATAAGAGACGCTTCAAAGTACTTCCTTACTCAACATTATATGGAGCACAGTAAGTTGCAGGAAATCCTTGAGGTGCGGTGTATCTCCCCCTCGTGTTGTCTTTGATGCACTGTAGCTGGTGGCAGCCTGACTATAGTGGATCCTGATTCACCTTAGTGGCAGTCGACCACAGAAGGATTTTAATTCGCCTTACTTGGTAGTAGTTTGACAATAGATCAACCCATATGATCCGACCTGCCATCTTAGTTTGTGGCAGTCTGATGTTTGGAGTGTCACCATATAGACTTGATACAGCTCAAACAGAGCGAAACATTGGCTCATTGACAGCTTGTTCTGCAAAGTGTGTCTTTTCCACACCGTTTATTAAGATGAAACGTTTCGTCCACCAGGAACTTTACAAATGTTTACTGAAGCGGGTCTTTAATCATATGATGATCCACAGCTGGAGCTTTTGGTCATCTGACAGAGACCTTCCGCTAGTTTACCGCTCCACCCCTTAAAAAATTATGGTTATAATTATAACCATTATGATCTTTTTTCACACAGTGGAAATGATAAATGTGAAATCTATGAATCCACATACTTGTTGGTACATAAAACTACTGATATACGTTTTCCTCACTACCTTGCGTTTAGTGGGTAATTAGATGTGCTGGTAAGAGGGATGACTGCTGCCGTCCTTCCCCACAGGAAGTGACACGCTGTGTTGCGTTTAATAGAAGAGGAAATGAAGTCATACTGGATCTCTAAACAGTGAATTTTAATGGTAGATATCTTATTATGATATTAAGTCAAGGTGTGTTTGGGTGTTTGTCTTCGCGGTTTTTGCATGCTATGTTTGCTTGGTATATTTGCTTGATAAGTTTGCTTCGTTGTTTGCTTGGCATATTTGAAAGGTATTTTTAATTGCTATGCTTCTTTGATGATTTTTAGTATGTTTAATAAGTATACTTGCTATCTTTTCTTGATAAGTTTGCCTGGTAGGTTTGTTTGATATATTTGCTCGGCATGTTTGTATGGTATATTTGCTTGGTAAGTTTGCTTGGAATGTTTGCTTGGTAAATTTGCTAGTACGCCCTGACCTAATACATCATAGCAATTCGTAAATAAAAGCGTATGTCGTTATACTATAAACCTTTAATTGCAGCTTGATAGAAAAAACTCTGCTGTCTAATTGGCAAAGTAGTCGTAAGTGAGTTATAACAAGACTCTGCTGTGCTAGAATACATTCTCTAAAGGCCAGTGGCAAAGTATATTTAATCTACGCTTTAATTTCTACCTGAAAAAAAAAGTGCAATAAACAATGGTTAATTGCACAGACAAGCCCACATGGAGACAAGATAAGTTCGGCATATCTGAGCCTCACACTTCAGTCATCTGAAGAGGACATCAGTATGGGGTCGAAACATACAGTAATACTCTCATATTAGACAAAATGCATAATACCGTGACTCGAACAATAGATAAATAACCCGCACATAGGAGAAAGAAAAGCTTATGACGACGTTTCGGTCTGTCTTGGACCATTCATGGTCTAAGACGGACTAAAATGTCGTCATCAGCCTTTCTCTCTCTGTTATGTGCGGGTTATTTGTGTACACTCATATTCTCCCTTACTGTCTCCACGTAATTGTGATTTTTCGGAGCTTGAGAAAACGCAGACACTTCCAAATGAAATTAACTCATTAAAAATCAATTATAAGTGAAAATGACAGCTCATCCTCCTAATCAAATTTAACTTTTCACTGTAGCTAAGACAGATGGATAGGTAACTGTTAAGGGAACCTTAAACTGCTGCTGTCTTGCTGTTTATTTATTGCGGTTGGTGGGTCCCCGTTTTTTGATAACGCTTAAAAAAAATTATCACTTCTGTGACTCACGAATCGTAATGACACGATTGTAAACAAACTACGGTACTTGCCGTGAGTTCGATTCCTACCCGTACCGTGGTTTATGGCCTCAATGTAAAATTTCATTTATTGGTGTTGTGATATGTTTTAATTAATAAATTTTTATTAATGGAGGACATTCTAACTGAACCTAACATTGCCTAACTTAACTTGACCTGACCTAAATAACGTAACTGGAAATATTTAATAAAAATAGTATTAGAAAAGTCGACTTAAAATTTAGGATCTAATTAACACTTATTTGGTTTTTAATATATATTGCCAACCATCGGTTTAGCTTTGGTTTATTTTGTTTTAGGTTCCAAGCCGGTCGACTACACGAGGGTTATTAACGCTTATCACCTGAACATCGTTTCATGGAAGGGATAGGATTCAAACCCATGGGAAACCTGTCCTAAAATTAGTATGCTAATGCTTTAACTTTATATAAACTGTTGCCATTAGTGCGTAACTATTAATGGTTGTAATTATAACCTTAATTTTTAAAGGAGTAGACCGGTAAGC